TGCCTGAGACCACATGGCGTGTTCATTCTTGTTATAGGGTTAATTGGACAACCCTGCAAGTGTCTGAGCAGTGTGGGGGGTACATGCATGGCCGCCTGTGAGTGGCATTAAGTGTCTTCTTATAGAAAATGTTCTTGAGTGAGGGGTGACTCATAGCCCTCTGGAACTATATGTATTTTGTTTTCACTAAAAAATGCATGAAAATCTACATTACTTGAAAAATCATTTTTATTTTTTTAATATCAGAGGAACGCTGTATGGGGAGCACAGTCAATATGAGAACCTGTCACTGACTGGTTCTGGTTTGTTGGGTAACAGTTGGGACTCTCTTAGCTAGTTTTAAGACTGGGCAGAAGATGATGTCTCTGTTGAAGTGTTACCTGATGGAATTCTTTCCCAGTCACTCTTAGCCTCACTACTAAGGTCAAGACTGTCAACGAACTGCGAAAGAGGACCAGGCCTCATGGGCCCTTTTTGGTCCTTTCTTAGGGCTGCACCATGGGCCCAGCTGCCTGTTACTCCTGTGTCCATGCACTGTGCTCACCTGGTGTTGCTCCTTGGTAGCTGGCACTTTTCAGCCTGCCTTGCAGGCAGCTGCTTTTCCTTGGCAGACTCCTGGTTCTGTGGACCCAGGCTTGGTTTTGAACCTTCTTTTCTTCTGTGCTCTATCAGGTGTTGATGCTGTAGTCTTCCTGACATCTCTGTACTCCGTCAGGTGATGATCCTGTAGTCTTGTTGACGTCTCTGTACTCTATCAGGTGTTGATGCTGTTGTCTTGCTGACATCTCTGTACTCCGTCAGGTGATGATCCTGTAGTCTTGTTGACATCTCTGTACTCTGTCAGGTGATGATCCTGTAGTCTTGTTGACATCTCTGTACTCTATCAGGTGATCCTATAGTCTTGCTGACATCTCTCTGTGCTCTGTCAGGTGATGATCCTGTAGTCTTGTTGACATCTCTGTACTCTGTCAGGTGATGATCCTGTAGTCTTGCTGACATCTCTGTACTCTGTCAGGTGATGATCCTGTAGTCTTGCTGACATCTCTGTACTCTGTCAGGTGATCCTGTAGTCTTGTTGACATCTCTGTACTCTGTCAGGTGATCCTGTAGTCTTGTTGACATCTCTGTACTCTGTCAGGTGATGATCCTGTAGTCTTGTTGACATCTCTGTACTCTGTCAGGTGATCCTGTAGTCTTGTTGACATCTCTGTATTCTGTCAGGTGATGATCCTGTAGTCTTGTTGACATCTCTGTACTCTGTCAGGTGATGATCCTGTAGTCTTGTTGACATCTCTGTACTCTGTCAGGTGATGATCCTGTAGTCTTGTTGACATCTCTGTATTCTGTCAGGTGATGATCCTGTAGTCTTGCTGACATCTCTGTACTCCGTCAGGTGATGATCCTGTAGTCTTGTTGACATCTCTGTACTCCGTCAGGTGATGATCCTGTAGTCTTGCTGACATCTCTGTACTCTGTCAGGTGATGATCCTGTAGTCTTGCTGACATCTCTGTACTCTGTCAGGTGATGATCCTGTAGTCTTGCTGACATCTCTGTACTCTGTCAGGTGATCCTGTAGTCTTGCTGACATCTCTGTACTCTGTCAGGTGATCCTGTAGTCTTGCTGACATCTCTGTACTCTGTCAGGTGATCCTGTAGTCTTGTTGACATCTCTGTACTCTGTCAGGTGATCCTGTAGTCTTGTTGACATCTCTGTACTCTATCAGGCGATGATCCTGTAGTCTTGTTGACATCTCTGTATTCTGTCAGGTGATGATCCTGTAGTCTTGTTGACATCTCTGTATTCTGTCAGGTGATGATCCTGTAGTCTTGCTGACATCTCTGTATTCTGTCAGGTGATGATCCTGTAGTCTTGTTGACATCTCTGTACTCTGTCAGGTGATGATCCTGTAGTCTTGCTGACATCTCTGTACTCTGTCAGGTGATCCTGTAGTCTTGTTGACATCTCTGTATTCTGTCAGGTGATGATCCTGTAGTCTTGCTGACATCTCTGTACTCTGTCAGGTGATCCTGTAGTCTTGTTGACATCTCTGTATTCTGTCAGGTGATGATCCTGTAGTCTTGCTGACATCTCTGTACCACACAGTGATAGCTTCCAAGTCTGTTTTCTTCAGCTAAAACTAAACTTCATATTACAACCAGAGTGTCTTCACAGCTGCCTCACAAGTACACCAGGGGCCCAAAAACAATGCTTTGAGCATTTTCTAATTCATTCTTCCCAGTAAATAGTAGCACCATCTAGCTCACATTCTCTTTCCAGTCTCATATTCTTCCAACTGCTTGGATGCTGAGGATAACATGAATGTCATTTCTCAAGTCTTATCTACTTTTAAAAAATCACCACATTTAGTTATTGTAAGAGCATATATGCACACACTTGTCATGACCCAGCTGTGGAAGTCAGCTTGGGGAGGTCAGTTCTCTCTTTCCACCACAAGGATCCCAGGGACTGAACTCAGGTTGTCAGTCCTTAGTGGCAAGTATTCTTACCCACTCAACTCCCTACCCCCTTCCTTCTTGTCTTCTGTTCCTCTTCCCATCTCTTTCTCTGTCCTCTCTCTCTCACTATCCTGGAACTCACATAGTAGGCTAGGCTCATTTGCCAGTGAGCCCCAGGGATCTGCCTTCCGTCTTCCCAGCAGTGAGTTTACAAAGCACATGCCTCCTTCCTCGAATGCTTCAGTCACACGTTTTCATTTTCACGGTCTCAAGGGACCAGTGCTTTTTTTTTTTTTTTTTTTTTTCCCTGAGCTGAGGACCGAACCCAGGGCCTTGCGCTTGCTAGGCAAGCGCTCTACCACTGAGCTAAATCCCCAACCTCAGGGACCAGTGCTTTTTATCTGGAGCAGCTAACAGCTTATCTTCTGTCTGTCTGGCTCTTTCTCATGGTTTAGTCCTGTCTTCTCTTTAGGGAGGCCCTTACTGACTGCTAGTGGTAGGTTTATGCACCCATTCTCTACTGTGATTTTAGAGCACACACTGAAATTGCTGAGTACTGACATTACAAGTGCAAACTCCTTCGAGCAGACATTATTCATTAAGGCATCATGGAGGTAGAACACATAGTAAAGTGCTTTGTTAAATACAATAAGAAAATGCAAGGGACTCATTCTGAGCTAAAAATGCCCCCAGATGTTGATTGAATTTTCATCATATTCCTTTACATAGATAATAGTTGCTGACCTCAGAGCAATCATTTTAGTAACAGTTGTGCACAGAGCTACGATACAGAGATTAGTGAGATGTGATGAATAGCAGTGATTGTCCAACTACATTACAGTAGGCCGGTAATTAAGGGTGTACAAGTTCATCAGAAGCACCACGTGTCGGGGGCATATTTTAGGGGTAGTTTTGAAGGGCTGCCACATGGGCTGGTCTTTTAGTGCAGCCATGTTCACGAGTCCATTGGGTGGATTAGGGGACGTAGAAGAGCTTTTACACTGAGGTGCGGTATCACAAAGCGGGAGAGATGTTGAGACAGCAAACGCCCTTGACTTCCCCAAGTCTGCTGTGTTCCTTAGTCTGATAGCGAGTTTTAAGAAGCTGGGTAGCTGCTCAGTTCCTGAGTTTTCATAGGAAGAGTCCAGCTGTGGGTATAACAGATAGTATCATAGACGACATTGGAGTTTGCAGCTAAAGACATGGCAGGACCAAACGCCATACACAGCGTGGAATGTTTCAGAGCCACTAGGGACTCCTAATAGGTGCAGCCACATAGTGGTGAGAAGATGAAGGTGCACACTGAGGGCTGTGTGCTCAAGGGGAAGCACACTGGGAGGCCAGGCCACTCTGGGAGGGGTTATAAGGGGACAAGTCAATGGGAGAATGGCGTGGATTGAAGACACGAAAGCTACAGTAACTGGTAAGGAGATGGCGTTGATGTCTGCTGGCCGGAGGACCGGCGTAGGTGGAGGTGCACTTAATGTAGAGGAACTGGTGGTGACTGTGTCCTAAAAGGGGAGTGGTATCTTTCAAGTACTGGTAGGATGCAGTCTCAGGAGATTAATGTTAAAGATGTTAGACTGGAATTTAGGATTCAGATACCAGTTAAAAAGACCAGTGTCAGCCAGAACTACTGGTGTACATGGCAGGAGGGAGAAACAGCCAAGGAGAGAACTCTGGGGAATGTACGTGCTTAAGGTGTTTAAGTTGTTAGTGGGAGAAAATGGTCTATAGAGTTGTAGGAATGTGACAGTGTGGATTTTGGAGAGAAGGAAATGTTCCAGAGACCACTCTGCATGATGGAAATTAATAGTTCCTCTATTGTGTGCTAATTAGTTTTCATTCCTGCATATTGTACTTCCAGTCCTCAGTAACTGGAAAAATACCTTAGTCATAAGGAGAAGAGATAAGTATGTGTGATTGGATCAATACAGATTGATTCTCACCTCTGGAAACAGTCAGTTCAGTAGGCCAGTGTATTAGGAAGGTAGCGTACTTTTAGGTAAACTAAGGTTCTTAAAGATGTGCTTGTCTTAGAAGAGGCGCACCTCAGTAAGTGTCCCTGATAGTGTCCGTGTCAGAGCTGGTTCTCAGCTTTGAGCAGTCTGGGTGAGCTACGTCGGTACTAACTTAAAACACCGATTTTTAGGAAGCAGAGTGCAGATGAAAACAAAACACATCCTGACAAGTAGGTAGCAGATACCATAAAGAGAAAAGGCAAAGTCCCTTGGGAGGGTGGAGAGTCTGATTTTGTAGTGGAGAAGACCATTCATGTCCTTGCCCTGTTGAGGGTCCTGCTCTAGGATAGGTGCTGTGACTGCAGATGCTCTGTAGTGAGGGGCTCTGCCGAGCCTACGGAGATGGGTAGACTACTATACTGTCTGCGTTACAGGACCTCATCACCTGCCCAGGACAAGGTCAGGGAACTAACGGCACTCTTCCCAGGAGGGGAACTGCTGAGGACATGGAATGCCATGTGCTAGTTCAAGTCGATACTGAAATACTTGAATACTGTAATGATTTTTCTTTGAATCTTTAGGTTCTCCTGAAAAGAAAACTGAACACTCTCCAACTCAAAAAAATATCACTGCAAATCCTACCAAAAACGGAAGCACAAGTCCAATATGCAAAGATCAGCGGGCTGTAAAGAAAACCTCAGAGAATCCAGCAGTCCGGGGTCCAGTGCAGAAGGGGAATGATGATTCTGAGAGCGACTTTGAATCAGACCCCCCTTCTCCTAAGAGCAGTGAAGAAGAACAAGAGGACGAGGACGCTCAGGGAGAACACGGGGACTTTAATGATGAGGACACCGAGCCGGAGAACTTGGGTCACAGGCCTCTGCTCATGGACTCTGAAGATGAGGAAGAGGAAGACAAACACAGCTCTGACTCAGAGTATGAACAGGCTAAAGCCAAGTGTGGAGACCTGAGCTCCCTGCACAGAGACAAACCTGCTGGTGGGCGGAGCCCAGCCCGTGACCCCCCACTCCTCTCCCCTGCCCATTCTCCAGCTGATGCCCCGACTCCCGGTCAGGAGTTCGATGTGTTTGGTGCTGTTCCCTTCTTTGCAGTGCCGCAGCACAGAGGGAATGGGAAGAACCTCTCCAGGCCGACATTTCCGGAGCAGGAGGACTTTGATGTGTTCACAAAGGCACCCTTCAACAAGAAGGTCCAGGACTGGCCCGCGGTGGGCTCCGACACCCGCCCCCTGCCTGCGCGGCCCAGGAGTGTAGATATCTTTGGCTCCACCCCCTTTCAGCCGTTTTCCACATCCGCGGCGAGCAGAAGTGAAAGCAGGGAGGATGTTTTCGGGCTCGTCCCCTTTGAAGAAATAACTGGGAGCCAGCAACAAAAAGTCAAACAGCGCAGCCTGCAGAAACTGTCTTCTCGCCAGAGACGCACAAAGCAGGACATGTCCAAAAGCAATGGGAAGCGCCACCATGGCACACCCACCAGCGCAAAGAAGACGCTGAAGCCCCCCTACCGCACCCCTGAGAGGGCTCGCAGACACAAAAAGGTGGGCCGCCGAGACTCACAAAGCAGCAGTGAGTTCTTAACCATTTCAGACTCCAAGGAGAACATCAGCGTTGCCCTGACCGACGGCAAAGACAGGGGCAGTGTCCTGCAACCCGAGGAGAGCCTGCTGGACCCCTTTGGTGCCAAGCCCTTCCACCCGCCAGAGCTGTCGTGGCACCAGCCCCATCAGGGCCTAAGTGACATCCGTGTTGATCACAGTGCCATCCTGCCCGGGAGGCCCAGGCAGAATTCAGTGCATGGGTCATTCCATAGTGCAGACGCGTTGAGAATGGATGACTTCGGTGCCGTGCCCTTCACAGAACTCGTGGTGCAAAGCCTGGCTCCACATGAGTCCCAACAGCCCCAGCCAGTGGAATTGGACCCATTTGGTGCTGCTCCATTCCCCTCTAAACAGTAGATGCTCCAGGTGGACTCGGCAATAACTCCTGTGTCAAAAAAGTATGAAGAGTTTTATGAATCTGGAAATTTGATTTGTATAGTTGTTTATATAGTTCATTCTTACAGGTTAGTCAGAATCGGCGATTTTCAAGTAAACCAAATGCAAGTTTCTGTACAGGGTATGCAGTGATGCCCGCTTCAAGCAGGAGGCCTAAATGGAAGGGTCCGAGGTGCAGCTGTGGGGCTTCCTGGGAAAAGCAGGTGTGTCGCCACTGAGAGACAGGAAAGCTTATCAAGTGCACACCCCAGGTCCAGCACTGGAAGCCAGGCTGAGGGTTTGCCCCCAGGAGGAAACAGCCTGGAGTGTGCTCTTCAGTCAGACACTTCTCTGTAACGCAGGACCAGAGGGACTGACTACCGTGCCTAAAACTCCTGCATTTTTCAAAACAAGTGCCATTAATAATGGACTCTGTAATGATAACTATATGAAATAATGTATATATTAACTCGCTTTAGCCCTTCTACAGTATATACATCCAAACATGTATATGATAATATATATGTAGTTTTTATTCTGTCAAAAGTAAATTTTTAAAATATGGAATGCTTAATAGAAGCCTAGAACAAAAATGTAAAGAAGTATCTGGCATTTGAAAAATGTAAAATAATGATACGTCAAAAAGAAAGCAACATTTGGTACTTTAGAATTAGGTTGTTTTTGCCAAAATCTTTACCATTATGTCCCTGATGAAGCTTATTGATAGAAAGTGGGAGGACAGGTTCTATAGAAGTTTAATTTCAGGAAAAGGCTAGCTGAAATTTTAAATTTGTAAGGTGTTTACCATGTAAAATCATGTTGGATTTACTAATGTACTTTATCACATCACCGCCCTTATCCAACACTCCTCCCCCAGGCTTGGGGGTGGGGCAGTTTGACTTCAGTGCTCCCACAGAGACAAGCCTTAAGGGACGCAGGCCTCCTGCTGCCAGCCCCTCTGCACCCACTGCCAGACCTGCAGTGGATGTCAGAATTAGATCCTGGGACTGGGGACCTCAATTCTGCTAGCTGATTGCATCATTAGTGAAAAAAACCAAGCTACCAAATTGCCTTTTAAAGAACACCACCAGTCATAATTAGAAACTTGAAATTTTGTAGTAGTCGTGTTTAATGGTAGCAGTTATAATCAGTTAATGTGAACACACTATGTGCTTCTTGTGTCTCTGTCTTCAGTTACAACTGCCTTTGCCAGACTAGCATTAGAAGTTTCTAGATTAATAGTTATTTACAAAAAGGGGTGGGAACTTTATCACTGGTGCCCTCCTTGCTTGCTATATTTTAAGTTAACTGTCTTTGCCCCCAATTAGTGGATTTAATGAGTAATCCTATAAAAACCTCTTATATTTTAGTGCCCTGATAGGATAAATTATTTGCCTACTTTCACGGTTTGGAACTTGGAAAGAAGCAGAATATATAACTGAGCCACGGTCATTCTTATTGCTCTCTTCTGTGAGCTCAGGTGAAAAGTGGGCGGAGAAACAGCCCAGCATTACATCACCACCTAGACCTGCTCTGCACCACTTCCTGCCCTTGTGCCAAAGGCAGAGGCTGTGTTTGCACCTTTTTCTAGTTCTCAGGTTAATTAATACTGCTAATGCAAATAGTAGTAGATCCTTTAAACTACAAAACAGATTCAGTGATGCTCTCTTTTCAAAGCGGTAAACTCATCAACTGCACAGAAGAGCTCATCTAGAAGGTAGTCAGTGAACTGATGTGGTCTCCTAAGATGTGAATATGAAATCATAATTTTACTTGCCTTTCAATGCACTGAATAATTTGAAGTGATTCACTGACACTTTGGCTTATGCTGGATAAATTCTTAGGAAACAACTCTGCCACAGCTTAAAATGTTTACATTGTCTCCTATAGCCCAGCCAGGTGACATTCCTCTTTTGAGATCAGCTCATTGGACAGATGGAGCATTTCTCTGGAGGTCCAGTAGGGCAGTTCCTGTGTGTTGATGTTAGAGGCATTTTCTTCAGTCTCCGTACAGCGGAACCTTAGGTACTTAATTCCCTTATGAGAATTAAGCTGCCAAGCACAGGACCTAGCACACAGCACTCACTGAAAGACTGGTTGTTATGGGATGGCCCCGTTCTGGTTTAAGGAATGTCATTTGGGTGTGCACTGTGCTTCTAAGTATGCAAAGTAGTCCTAAACCTGTTAAACTTGAACATCAAAGGGAAGTCACGTTAGAGACCTCAAGGATCCAAGGCCAAAGCTGTTTCTTAGAAGCTTTACTAGCTTGTTAACTCTGGATCGTCTTTTAAAGAGTAAACCATTTGCTTAGCTTCCATAACTTCAGTAAAGCATTACTATGACAAAGATCATCATCTATGGCATTGAAGAATGCATCTGCCAAGACACTGAAGTTGCTTGGTGTATAGTTGGCGAAAAGGTCTACTGTAAGCTGGGAGAAAATGTAACTGACTAGGGTATTAAGAACTGAGTGTCGCGGCCCCCCCCCCCCCCGCCCCCCATGTGTGTACTTGGGCATGGATAGGAAGTCACTTGGATCTCAGCTCTGCGCACCCTGCGGCTGTTTAACGGGCTGACTGCTGCTGTCATCGTGCTGGTGGAGCCCACTCTCCTGTGCTGGTGTGGCGGGGCAGCCACTCCGCTGGGTCATCTAGGTTTGAACGTGTATTGCTGTCACTCCGTAGGGGAGTCTGGGTATGTCTGTTTAGTATATGTAGAATATGCAGTGAACTTGGTCGGCTTTTCTTTGTCTTTTTTTAGCAAAACTAGTCATCAATTTAGGTCCAGTTAACTGAGTTGACAGTCTACTGTGAGAGATGACGTGTCTACTGTGACAATAGCGAATGACTGTTGGAAAACTTTTGTACTCAAGTGTGTTTTCTACTAAGATAAAAAAGACACACGTGCGTGCACATCACAGCTCTCTATTAGGGAATTAATGTGAATTTAAAAATGGCAATCATGTCTGTTTTTTTTTTTTAAAGAGCATCCACTCCTAGAGAGGGTTTACAAAAGCCACTAAAAGGAAGAAGTAGATGGAAATACAGAGAGGGTTGGGTCTGTTTTAGGGTTTTTGTTTTTGTTTTTTTTTAATTTTAAAATTCCCAGTGCTACTTTCAGAAGAGAACTGATTTTATTACTATGTGCTTTTTGTGACTGAAAAGTCGTCCCATAGAAGGAGTAGTAGCCACTTGGTTTTTCCTTTTGTGGTGCTGGGAACCGAACCCAGGGCCTGGCACATGCTAGACAAGCGTTCTAGCGCTGAGCTCCATCCCCAGCCTGGAAGCTCCTTTTAATTGCTGGCAAACAGCTTAAAGTGCACTTTCTTTGATTACACTTCCAGTTTTGTTAAACTTGAATTTTCTGAAGCCTTTTGTGTGCCACTAAGCAAATACCTTTAATCTTTAAAAAAAAAAACCTGGATTTATATCTTTAGTTATGTTTCTAATTGTTATAAAACATACTTGCTAAAGTAACTTAAGCCCTCAAGTGTAGTTGGGAAACTTATGAAATAGAATTCAGTTGCTTCCCCATACCCAGTTAAGCACTAATTTTATTACCTTATTGCCTTTACATTGCTTAGTCTCGAATTCTGTTCACTATTTTGTTTGAGATTTAAAGTTATTTTCTTACTGTATTTATCATACCTACTGTTTTAATAATCTGCCTTCTTTAAATGCAATAAATCCCAAGTGGATTGCTTATTCTTTATAATCAATGCCTTTGGAGTTTTTTTTCTAATTTGTCTCATTAAAAGTTTCATTATAAAATTCTACTTAGTTCTTTCATTCTCACCATAGAGTCTGTCTCCATTATGCACTCTGCTCTCAAGAGTTCATGGTTCAGGATTTAAAAAACTGCACTTGGCCTCATTCCTCTGCAACATTTCCTAGCAGGACTCCTTCACCAACAGTGACTGGAAGGTCAGAACACCAGGTCTTAGAGTGCCTTCTGAATTAACTTGTCTGGCATCGTTTTTCATTTGTAACTTGTTTTTTCAACTGTAAAAGGCTGTTAGCATTAACAATATTTGACTAAGTATTTTAGCTCCTGACTCTGTCAGAAAAGAGGCGTTGGCATCTCCATGAGATGGCCTGTGTATTAGATTGATGACAGAGTTGTAGTGTTATCTGAGAATGCAATATTCCACAGTCTGCAGTCTGGATTGGTGCCTTGTGACAGTTTCTCAGTCTTGAATAAGGTTCATTTGATTTGGTATGAGTGGACTTGTTTTGAAGTAGTAACCAGTGCAAAGCAGTCACTGTTTAGATTTGGTTATAGTTAATCTCTCTAAAGAGGAACAGATAGTGCTATCTGAGCTATTTATTTTGAATAATTCCTGTTTAGGAAAGGGCAATCAAGCATCACGTGTGGCACCGTTAATTCTCATATTCACAGCACGACCTTTGAAAACTGTTGCATGTTAAGAAAGCACATAGGGCTGGCACAGCTGGGATTACCTGCACGCCAGGCAGCAGTCTGATGCCACAGTAGTAGAACAGGATGAGGGCCTTGGTGGCCTTTCACATAAGCTGGGCAAGGGTACAGAAGTTCACTCTCCTCAAGGGGGCCCTACTGTTATTTCTCTCCTTTCAGAAAAAAGTTTTCAAGGGTAAGTTTCAGTTCCAGATCATTCATCACAGCACAGACATACAGTAAAGTCTCGGGACCTGAGTGCTAGAGTATCTACATTTCTCTTCAGTGTAGATGTTGCGGTGACAGTGCATACAGAAGACCCTCCTGCCCCTTCCCTCACGGCCAAGCTGCTTCACACTTCGAGTGTGGACTTAGAAGAAATGATGCTTTTTGGGTGGGTGTGGAACTCCTCAGAAACTGGCAGGAATCCAGAAGTGCAGGCCTCTAATACAGGCAGGGGATATCTCTAGGACGTACTTGACAAGTGGAGAATTGTACAGGTCTAGGCTCTGCAAGCACAATCTTTAAACTGGATCCTCTGTCCAGTGGGATCATAAGCTGTGACAGTCCCTGGCTCATCATTTGACCCTAAAATGTGATTTAGATCTGTAACGCATCACAAAGAATGACAAGCAGCCCACGTTTAGTAAACCCCATTTATTTACATATGCACACTTTGCCATGCAGCTACCAAACTGCACCTAGTATAAGCCAAAGAGATGAGCAGTGCCTTGCTGTTTGAAAATGGCTTTATAGAGAAAAAGGACTGTTTATTGAGTTAACTGAATCTCAATAATTTATAATTTAAAACAGCCAGAGATAGTTTAAAAATGTACTTTTAAAGTCTTAGCTTTTGTAGTCTGTATATAGGTAAAAGACAGACTGACTTTTTAAAAAAATACTGTAGCTGGAAATACAATTTTCAACCTATTTTAATAAACTGATAAAAATAAATATACATTATTACAAAGCTCAGATTTGTAAGCAGTTGTCAAATATTCTTTAATGTGATAATTAAACTTTTTATCAGTAGTGTTATGCACACAGTAGATGGTCAATAAATGCTGACATACATAAGTGTTTATAGTTGACAACAATCCAGTCAGTCATTCCTTTATAATAAATACATTATAAAGATAAAAGACGAGGACAATAATTATAATATCAAACATTTTCAGAGAATACAGAATAACTGTCCCTACAGAATCAGAACTATTCAAAGAAAAGTTATTTAAAAACAAAGTATGCTCTTTTTATGTGTTACACATACAGCAATTATTACAGAATTCATGTACAAAAAGAAACCAGGCATTTCAAGAAAGTAAAACTTAGAGGGCTGGGCATGGTGGCACACCATTGGAGACAGAGGCAGGTGGATCGCTATGAGTACAAGGCCATTCTAGTCTACATAGCAAGTTCCAGACCCACCTAGGCTGAAACTTCTTTTGAGAAGAGTTCAGAATAAAAATGGCTCCACACCTAAAGTTCCTGGACTTTCCTCATTTTTTACTTAAAAACTACTCAGTATATTTATTCTGGCCAAAATGATAAAATGTGTATTCAAGAGCAACATAAGCCAATAATGGATTTTTTTGAGAAATACATTCAACTTTTGTTATGTCCAGATCATCTAAAGTTGAGCATGAATTGAATTTGTGTCCTAAGATACAACAGCCACTTTCAAAGTAGCATTCCCTCATCACTATGGTTATGAAATGGTGGCCTTCACTGAACCCACTGGGAAAAAAATTCTGATGTACTAGCAAGGGAAATTTTAAATTCCCAAACCACTACACTACAAAGAAACACCCTGCAGAGGCATACACTGAGCATATCAATTTTCCTAATACTGGATGTAGAAAGTGCATTTAGGGAATAAACATCAATGTAAAGAAAAATTTTATGATATATTAGTTAGTTTCATTTTCCTGAAAATATGCCAGTATTTAAAACAGCTTGTGAACTTACTAAGAAACTTAGGTCATACCTTATATTTCAGTGGACAACGGAAGTTTTTATGAATACTATGAATGATTTAATTTATGCATTTAGAAAGACCGAGGAATAAAAATGATGCTATCTGACAGGGCAGTGGGATCTACAATTAACAAGACTAATGCTTCAGCTCTGAAGTGCACATGGTGTTTATATACATGTTTAAGTTGTCAATGAAATGTTAGTACAAGTATAAGCAGGCCTGGAGCAGCAGTGAATAATCTCACTATCAAATGAGACATCTGCATGACTTCTAAGGCTTACGGTTCATTCACGGTCAAGACAGGGCCACTCAGATCTCATGGCCTTCAAAGTAGCACCCATAGAGTTTTGAACTCATCATCATGAAACTTAGGACTAGAGTTAGAGATGAAAGTTCTTTGGGAAAGCTGGAATCAAAATTCACTGTCAGGAATCTGATATTTAATATGGAATTAAATAATATTTGGAATAAAATTAGGTAGCTGATAATTTGGCTATCAGACCATATGTTGCTCTGTCATGTCCCTAGTTACCAACCTAATATATTTTTTAAAATAGCAATGCATGTTTCTTTTCTCAATACCTTTCTCAAAGGAGGAATTAAAATTTTTTTTTATTAGCAAACTTAGAAAAAAAAATAGAATGTTCCTAAGGAGAAGAGAAACTGGCTAAGGGAAATGATTCAGGGGCCAGTTTCTCATAAGCTGTACAGGAGGAAGGGTGTGATTATTCAGCAGTACACTGAGCTTGGAGTAGCACAGGCTATAGCAACCTTTGCCTTGAAGAGGCAAATTTGGTCATTTAATGAAAATGTCTCCTATTAAAGTAAGCATACAGGATGCCTCCATTTATTACAGACAGGGGCTGTTCCTAAGAAAATGAAGCTGGTCTTATGTAGAATGCACCCCATTTTTAGAGTCGTCTCACACCTACATCCACGTCTCAACATGTCTAACTTTCACCGTCTGCACAAACATCAAATCATAGTTGCAAGGGTCAAACGCAGTTCTTACTACAGATCCAAGTGTATTTCCCCATTTTGATAAACCATTATGACTCATTAAACAAGAAGAAAAGGGGAAAAAATAAATGGGAACCTTAAAAATAATGGGGTCTAAACCCCCCACGGCATATTGCTCAATGACTGGATTCACCAGGTGGCCATACCTGAACTTACAGGTGCGGAACATAGTCAGGGCAAGGCTTGCTATGTCTGTACTGCATGACATACACTGTGGACTGGTGCCACCAGTATAACATCACTACTGCAAGGATGTGCCAGATCTGGTGGCTTGATCCGAGGTAGTTTAGCTGTCCTGGAAGAGAGAGTAGAAAGAAAGGCTGACACTATTATTTCAGTATTTAGAGATAAATACACTTCTACTTCTGGCTACAGATTGACTACAGATTAATTCAGATTCAAATCTTTTTCAAGAGGGTGAACTCATATTTAAGGTTTTATTCCTTAAGTATGCAAGTGAATTTCAGAAATGCTGTTCCCAACTGTTTCTAGGAGAGATCAGGTGTGTTTGGCTGGTATGGCCTTAGACCCCAACTTTATTTTTAAAATGTAACTTGGGAGGGTCAATGAAACAGCTTAGAGTGTAAAGGCACCTGCCACCAAGCCTGATGGACCTACTATCCCTCAGATCCACAGGACACAGAAAGAGGGAACCCGACTGCCGCATGCACATTGTGGCATGCAACCCACCCCACAAGAGTGCACACATGCAAGCACACACGCACAATAAATGTGAAAAAAAAAATAACGTAATGTTTATTTTCATGAATTTGATCCTTTTTTCCCATGTCTCAACATATTTGGTAGAATGGGGGAAAAGTTTCCTATGGAAGGCAAGAGACAGTGGTGATCAGGGCATGATTGAGGCATGAATCTGCCGGAGCAGATGCACTGTATGGCTCGATGTGACCCTGGTAGGAGCACTTCTGCACAGGTGGGAAGGACTAATTAATCGTTAATACAGGGAGCTTTCTGATGTTTCCCGGTCACAACAACCAGAGCCAGGACAACTACCAGCTGCCCCTTAATGTCCTGCCTGCGATGGCGGTGTTGTGTAAATACCCCTAAGCTCACTTTTTCTTAGCAAGAAGCTTAATGGCATTTAAAGTGTGAGTCAGCAGGATTCCTCCTGGGCGGGCTCTCAGTCTTTCGCTTGACTCCAACTGAAAGCCTACCAATTCATTAAAAAAAAACAAACAAACCAACGAAATATAAAAATTGCTGTCTTGTAATACATAGTCCACTGATGAGCATGCAGACCTATGGATCCACTGTGATACATGTTTGTTTTGTTTTTGTTTTTGAAGATGCAGTCTCACTATGGAGCCCTAGCTGGCCTAGGACTATGTAGATCAAGGTAGGCCTGAACTCACAGAGCTGCCTGCCTCTGCCTCCCTAGTGCTACAATTAGAGGCGTATACTTTAACTAGAGCTGTTTTTAGTTTTAAATTTCTTACCCGCTATTCACAGTCTACACTGCCCATATTCCTCTCATCCGTGGGGAGAAGGTACATACTTAACATTAGAGACTCCCTTTCCTACGACTTCAGCTTGTCCAGTGCCATCCTCCACTCTGATGTTCCTGCACTCCGCCAGCCATACAGCTACAGGGACACATTTCATGCTGAGCTCACCCTGGAGAAAAGCTATGTAACACATGAACCTTTGCAAGCGTTAGAAAAGACAATTCCTTTTTTTTTTTTTGGTTTTTTTGAGACAGGGTTTCTCTGTGTAGTTCTGGCTGTCCCAGAACTCGCTTTGTAGACCAGGCTGGCCTCGAACTCACAGAGATCTGCCTGCCTCTGCCTCCCGAGTGCAGGGATTAAAGGCATGCGCCACCACCGCCCGGCTAGAAAAGACAATTCTTAAAAGCTGGTTTGAAAATAGTAAGGCTAAAGCCACATGGCCGTTCTTACATAGTACAGAGTAATTGTACTTGTGTGCAATAAAGAAATAGAATTCTATATGAATGTAATTATTTTTAATTTATTTTGCAGTGCTCAGGGTTAAACTCTGAGCCTTGTGCATTCTAGGCAAGTGCTCTCCCACTGAGCTAAAATGATACAGAAACATACCCAAATTGTGCATTTTCAGTGTGGGGTTATGTGTTGGTTATGTTCTCATGTCCTGATGGCCACACACCCAGGTTCTCACTGCATTCCATTTGTTCTGGAAACAGTGACGAAAAGACAATGCTCGCAGGCTCGTCCTCTAGGCTGTCTCCTCTCCAGAGCATGTGAAGAAGGGTCCCAAGCCATCTCTAATTCATCATGGAGGTGATTCTTCCTCTTAGGGAACACGTGAACACAGCCCCACTCCCTGCAACAAATGTCAGCCCTCCACATGTGGGCAAGTCAGGACTCAGCATGCCCACAGTGCAATGGACATGCCTGGTCTTGGAAAACTACCTTTATGCCCATGCATCTCCCCTGACTAAGCACCACGGAAGTGATTTTTAAACCCAGGAGGGAGGGACGGATTTGCAGCCTAGATTGAAACCGCGTCTTGATTCAGTTTTCCAAACGTAAGTCACTGTTGTAAGTTCTCTAAGTGTTACTCTTGAGTCAGCTTACCTGGACTTCATGCTTTCCTTTATTTAAACCTGATACTTCCATGATCAAGATCGCGCCGTCACTCACTGAGTGCTTACTGCCCGCCTGGGACTGTGCTGTTCCAGGGGTGCTGTCATCTAACCCTCATGGGAACCCCGGAAGAGAAGTACTCCAGCTTGTTTCAGATGTGGAAGCACAGCTTGGTGAGCATGGGCCACGACTAAGGGGCTCCTGTGGCTTTTAACTCAGGCAGTCTAACTGCAGAGTGCAGTGCAGGAGAACACGCTTTGGAGGAGTTTGCCCACCGTACCCAGTGTCTTCTAGGTGTTTTTCACCAGAGCTCCCCAATGTTGGACTGAAGAAGGGAGATCTTCCTCCTGCTGAGAGTGGCGCCTGGGTACCCTGGGGCAGTGAAGAGTGTTCACCCCAGCGGTGTGTGAGGAAGCGCAAAGCCAGACTGCTTGCCTTGAGCTGCTGTGCAGAATCTGTGTGAGGCACACAGGCCCCTCGTATCCCGAAGGATACATTCTAAGAGCCCTCATGGATGCCCAACACTGCAGAGTGCTCCATCCTCTACATACTACCTTTTCTATATGACTACCGACAATAATGTTTAACTACAAATCAGCTCTACGAAGAGATTAAAATATAACAACTATAACATATCGTGTGATAGAAGTTTTGACTGGTTTTCACTCTGGAGCGGTTTCTTTTAGACAACTGAAATTACAGATCGAGCCCTGACATACAGAAAAGTCGCTCTACACCTGTCTTCCTCTTACTGTTCCTGTGTCCTTGCTTCTTGCATTTCTTACTGTATGTATCTCTGCATATAAAAGTTACTCCCTAAGAACAAGGTGGTATGGATGGAGGAGCATGGGAGCTAATGCTAGTGCCCCATGTTAAAAGGAACAGGGGCCAGGAGTCACATGATCCTCAGTCACAAGCTCATAACTGTACAATAGTGTCAACCCCAGCCCCTGGGGGTTGACACTATTACTGTGAGGGTGGTGGGAAATGTCTCTAAAGCCCCTTGAAATTTAAAGTTATGTTTTCTTTCTTTCTTTGTTGTTTTGTAAGAGAGGATTTCTCTACATACCCCTGGCTGTCCTAGAAGTCACTATATAGACCAGGCTGGCCTTGAACTCACATAAATCTGCCTGCCTCTGCCTCCTGGGTGCTGGGACTAAAGGTGAAAAAGTTATAGATATTGCTTAGGAATAGAAGAATCATTCCATAATCAATACTGAGAAACAATCTAAATTTTGATTCTCAGAAGCATTTACTTCAAATGTGTTTTCAGAAGGAAGCTACAAAAGCGTGGTGAACAGGGACCTACCTGGAAAGTACCGTTCTGGAACTTTGGAAATGTAGAAGAGGAAAGCCAGAAGAGCAATCACATACATCACTATTACTCGGGGTGCGAAGTCCTGGAAAACAAAGAGTGTTGGCTTAGATTTTCCCGGGGCTACTGAGATCTCCTGGAGCTCAGAGGTAGGATTTAAAGACTGCCAAGTCTCAGTTACCCTGCTGATGGTCTCCTGTTCTCATCCCACAGGAAGAGGTCCACAGCAATGGAGCGCAGTGATGGCCTAAGAGGCCAGCTACTTATGGAGCTTGAGCTGGTGACAGTCGCGAGACTGCCCAGTTCCTCTACAAAGTGGCTACAGAGTGTCATGTGTGCGAGAGCCCAGTCAGGAGAGCTCAAAGACAGAACAGCTCCCTGCATCCCAGAGAAATGCCTGGGCATTGCTACATGAAGCACTCCATCTCACTGCTGGTGTGTGGGCCTACGGGTCTTCCCGACCCTAAAGCACATGTACTGTTCCGAACCCTGGTTACAAACCCACCGCATTTACCAACAGTTCATGTAAGAAGTGAAGACAGCTTCTCTCTTCCTTTTCAAGTATGTGAGATGACCTTGGCTTTCTCCAACTCTGTATTCATCAGTTTGAGGTTTCTAACCATTCTAGAACACACCTTCAACCATCTGCTAGGCTTAACCCACCCGGAAATCTCATCTTTAGGAGGGGCATCTCTTCCCAACTTAAAAAGTGAGAGCTTTTGAGTGCATTTCCTCAAAGAGTCCCCTTTGCTTCCTCACTGGAATCACAGGTGATCTCACTAGAATTCTATTTTCAGCACCCCTCTCTTTTTATGCCTGTTCTCTATTTAAGTCTTGTGAATATAGGAATATTCAAATTTTCCTAAAATCTATCAACTCTCAAGTTTTTGTTCTTTTTATCATTATAAGCTGACTGTAACTCACCACTTCTAAAATTAATCACTTCTGTATCAGCTACCAGTCATTCTTTTCTAACTGGAATTAAATTACAGATAGCAGCTTCTCATTCTACTGTCTTATTCTTGGGGACCCCCAATACCAGAGAAATGGTGTCTTCCTACATAGCAGGACAGCTGTGTCCCTCCTCACTCATACCGGCTCTGTTACCTTCCTGCTCTTATGAAGAGAGTCCGACTCTCCCATGGTGGACCACGCCACTCATCCCACTCGGTCACAATCCACCTTTCTTTTCACTGGTTTACCAGTGTTTCCTCTAGGCCACAGTGAAAGCTGGCCGGCCTCCTGACAGGCCTTCCTCTTCTAGTCAGCAGTTCTCCTGAAGTGGCAGCAGACTCCACTGAAGTCCAGACAAGCGGCGCTGTGACAATGGAGACTCACACCAGCTTTCCTGGCAGATTTACTTAAATATGTTCAAGCTCTCTCTAGCACACACTTGGAGCCCTTTATAAAAATTTCTACGAACACAGAAATCTGTGTTCCTCAGGAAGACAGAGCCCTACTGGAGTTCTTCCTCTCACATGTTGCCCGTCTCCACAGGGTCTGGATCAACAGAATCAACAGCTCTTCCTTTACGACTCAACCTACTATTCTGGGTGGGTTGAGCACCCTCCTCCAGTTCCAGCTACTGCCAAAGATTTATCACCCGTCTCCAACTCTATCCTCTACTTTTATTTATATCCCGTACATATCTCCGACTCAACATGTCCAACCATAACTTCTTCAATTCTTCATCCCTTACCCTCAAAAGAAACCAGCTGCTCCCACTTCTGTACCCCGTTGTCTATGATATCATCACTAGCGCAGCAGACAAAACTGCAAACTCAGAAGTCCTCCCCAGAAATGACGTGAGTACTTATATATTGAGATGGAAAAAGAATGATGTTATTTCATACAGTGACTCATCAGAAATGAGTAGAGACTAACTTACGGTTTTGAAGGTATGCTCATTTATATAGCTGCGAAAACTGTGTTTCAATGTGCAACTAAAAACATGCTCCCAAAGGATTCAGAGCTACCCACACGGCCTCACAACACCACTTTAAGGGAGAAATGAAAATGAAGGACAGAAAAATAAAGAAAAATACTGACCATGCTCAACCTACCTGTACAATAGGAGCACTGATTCCTCCATTGAGCCAAACCCAGTGAAGGGTAGGGATCACGCCATACCCCGAAACAGAACAAAAGATGATGGGGCGGAGCCGCTGCCACTGTTGTGTGAGGTAATTGGGGTGGATCTGTGCGAAGAACACTGCCAGGATCATTGCCAGCACGGTGATCAAGTACACTTGCCGCCAATACTGGAAGGAAAGGAGGACAGTCATCTGGGCTTCCACGGCAGACATCGCAGGGCTCTGCTTACTTGGCTTTAATGTCCAACAAGGTCCCCCATCCTTTTCTAAGGAATGTTCCATACGAATGCTAAGTTTTTGAACAGTTTCTTAGGATGACACCCAAAACTGAGAGTGAACCGGTAAAGGACCACACTTCTCCGTACAACAGCGCGTGCTGACCACCTGAGCTATGCAGGGCACAAGGCAAGTGCTGTAGGAACAAGGCTGCCTATGGCATGGCTCTCCAGTGGCTGCGTGCAGACTGAGGGAGGGCACCTTGTGAGCACGCTGGTGTAATGGCAACGCTGTGACTGAGTCACAGACAGAATGCTGAGGACCACGGAAGCAGAAGAGACAACATCTCAGCCTGGAAACACACACAGTGTGTGGGGAGAAGGCGCACAGAGGGTCAGGGAGGTCTGGAGAAAGGTGGCCGAAGGAGAGACTAAGACTGAGCTCTGCCACAGTGACGCACTGGGAGCTGCTGAAGAACAGGATGGACGCTGGGTGTGGTGGCAAGGACCTGGAACCCAGAGTGTGACAACTGAGGCAGAAGTTCAGATGACAGACAGACATCAGGAGAGTCTATTCAAACAGAGGGCAGGGCTGGGATGAAGCGTGTGCTTGTGTGTGTTTGTGTGTGTTTGTGTGTGTGCGTGTGTGTGTGTGTGTGTGTGTGTGTGTGTGTTGCCACAGTCCAGGGCGAAGCCTGCATCTGAGTGGACCCATACACAGGGAGGGGAGGCTTGGGCAGGGCACACTCTGTTCACAAAGAACTACAACTCTGAGCAGGCATGCTGCTCCTGGAGGAAAAGCATAGTTTGGGCTCTGAAAAAGAGGTAAGATAAGAAAAGGAAAATAAAACAGTACAACGGGAGAGCAAGGTTGATGGAACTTCTTTTTCACTGTTTTGAGACAGGGTTTTGCTGAGTAGCTCAGCCTGGCCTGGAAGTTGAGATCCCTTGCCTCCCCATCCTGAGTTACACAATTATATACGCATGCTGCTACATTCTCTGTGTGCTGTATCTGTGTACTTACAGTCATACTTTCCCCCAGAAAATTAACAAAATACTCTGGAACTGATAGTAGATATTAGAAATCTATTAGAAAGTGAAAGTGAAGTTTGTGCCCGAACAAGACTCTTCTCTTTGTAAGCAAAGCATGCGTTCATAGATTTAAATGGCTGCAGGAAAACCCAAATCCTATATAAAAGATAGAGTGTGAAAGTTCCAAACACTTACATTATTACAGTAAAATGCATAAAATACTCCCGAGACATAGCAGCCCAGTATTCCAATAGAAATCCCTGCATAATCCAATGCCATCCATCTTCGACAAGTCTTTTCTGATCGATGACAGGAGAAGAGATGATAGCCCACTGAGCAGAGCATACAGACCTACAAGAGGAAAGGCAGACTTTAAGAACAAAGTGAGACCAACAGAAATCAGAGGAACTCATAAATGCTCTTCTGCGATACGGTTAAGATGCCAGGCTTTCAAGTCAGGGACACTTTAGTTCGAGTTCTAGCTGTGTACCTCACCACAGGGCAAACTGCCACTAAACTTCATGGGTTCATCAGGAAAATGGGGACCACAATCACTAGAAACTTAAAAATCACAATTATTTTAAAATATAAGACTGTAAATAAACAGCAAAAAATTATACAATGAAAATGTTTTTTTAATACAAATCCTTTCATAATACCTCCTAAGGCTACTCTGATTTATGACTGAATTTATTTTCCTATCAGTCACTAAATTAACATAAATCCCTTAATAAAGATTGAAGGATACAGAATTGTATACTGCAAAAAATATATGCTCCTCTCATTCAATCTATTCCTTAGAGTAACTACTGATTGCTGTGGGATATCTTTCTGTATGCTGTGAATATGTGTGGCTCCCATTGGATAATAAATAAAGCCGTTTTGGCCTATGGCAAGAGAGCTTACAGTCTGGTGGGAAGTCCAGAGACACAGAGAGAAGAAGGGCGGAGTCAGGAGAGACGCCAGCCTCTGCCAAAGGAGCAACAAGATGCCAGCAGACCGGTAACACCACAGCCACGTGGCAACATACAGATTAATAGGAATGAGTTAATTTAAGATGAAAGAGCTACCCAGCAAAAAGCAGAAGCCATAGGCCATACAGTTTGTAATTAATATAAGCCTCTGAGTAATTTTTTTTTTTTTTTTTTTGGTTTTTCGAGACAGGGTTTCTCTGTGTAGCTTTGCGCCTTTCCTGGAACTCGCTTTGGAGACCAGGCTGGCCTCGAACTCACAGAGATCCGCCTGGCTCTGCCTCCCGAGTGCTGGGATTAAAGGCGTGCGCCACCACCGCCCGGCTCTGAGTAATTATTTTATAAACAGCTACAGGACCACAGATGGGAGAGACTGCTGAGCAAGGTAGGACCGGAGAAATTTGCAGCTACAACTGATAATATATTATATGTCCCTGTAACACGTATGTTCTAAGGACCTGTGATACATATGTCTATACATGATAAATACTTCAATCAAGTGGACTTATTATAATTCTAGTTATAATGTGCTTTCCTTTTCTTGATGTGAGACAAAGTCTCACTATGCAGCCCGCATTGGTCTGAAACTAAGTAAACCAGACTGGCCTGGAACTCAGAGGTCCCCCGCCTCTGTATCCCTGGTGCTGGGTTTAAAGGTATGTGCCGCCATACCTGGCTACAATTTAATTTTTTAACTTAAAGACTACAGTTTACTTCTAAGTAAATATGGCTTTATTATATCCATGAAAAATAAAATGTCTATGTTTTCCAAATTGACAGCAAAGATGTAGACAGCTGTTCTGAGGACGTGTAAGGCAGGGCAGAACTTCTCTGACCACTAAGTATCCGTTGTGTGTTATGCCACGGAAGGTGACAGAGAGGTGAAACTTCTACTCTCCAGGAGATTTTTGGAGAAGCACTGCTCTAACAAATTCTACAGAAGAAGTCAGTGTAGACAATAAACCACCAAGGGAAGCAGGCATTGGCCGTGTGGGAGCATGTGGTGTATCTGCAGGTATACCCGGCAGAAGGGAAAGAGCACCCCAGAAGGGCTGACACTTGAGCTGCATCTCAACGTTCAGCTAGCGCTCATCAGGGGCATTAACAAAGTCTGTACATTTTTCAGGGAAAGGGGTCCATAAAGACAAGTCATATAATGAAAAATATGAAACCAACGAAGAATGGAATGCGACTTTCTTTATGCCATAATTAAAGCGACAACCCAATGAGGTGTTTTAACTTTGGCATTAAAGCCAGTATATGAAACTTCTGAGGATATGAAGAACACCTTTACAGAGGTGTAGACAAGCTGAGAGGTTACAAACACAGCCATGGGGAACCTGAGTTTACCAAGTCAGTGACAATAGTGTGGTGGTATTGTGTTCCCCAAAATATTGTGCACCCTAATAAACTTATCTGGGGTCAGAGACAGAACAGCCACTAGATACAAAGGCTAGAAAATGGTGGCACTCACACCTTTAATCCTAGCATTCCAGAGGCAGAAATCCATCTGTTCAAGGATACAGTCAAGCATGGTGACTCACGCCTTTAATCCCAGGGAGTGGTGGCAGAAAGCAGAAAGGTATATAAGGCGTGAGAACCAGAAACTAGAAGCATTTGGCTGATTAAGCTTTCAGGCTTTGAGCAGCACAGTTCAGCTGAGATTCACTCGGATATGAGGACACAGAGGCTTCCAGTCTGAGGAAACAAGACCAGCTGAGAAGTTGGCCAGGTGAGGTTAGCTGTGGCTTGTTCTGTCTCTCTGATCTTCCAGTGTTCACGCCAATAACTGGCTCAGGTTTGATTTCATTAATAAGAACTTTTAAGATTCCTGCTACACAACAGGAGTGGAGAAAATGGGACTGTTATGAAGCAGGCCCAACTGACAGATGTATTCTGAGCAGCTGGCCGCTAAGACAGTAAAATGGAATCCAGTTATTTGTTCATTGAGCAAGCCTAACCAGCTTGCAGAGATCCAGTGTCCATGTTCATAACGACACACTTAACCACAGATTCAGTCCATCTGCTGTCACAAATCTTCACTGGCCTGTGGCTTATGACTCTCAAGCCACCACAGCGGGCTGGCCCAATACCATGTACCAGCTCGGCTGAGTTCTCTGGTTATCCCTGTGCTTACATGCCATAAACCTGGAGAGCACCACGGTGGAACTGCTCACTGAGAGACAAGGAGGATCTCACTGTCACAGAGAATGATGCACAGTAGCCAGGAGAGGCGATCTGAGCTCGGATGCACTCACTGGACAGGCAGAGAGGAGGATGTTAGGCAGCAGCGTGTGCACAATGTCTATGACCACCGCTATGTCCAGTGTGGCCACCTGTGGAAGTGGGGTGCCAAGTGACTTGAACTTCCTTCATAAACTCTGATCTGCTTGAATTTCGACATGAGTATATAGTAACTGATAGTAATTATAAAAATCGGTAATAAACGGTACCTCGTTGTGAAAAGGGGAGTCTGAGGGAGAAAAACTATGGTACCAAAAGGAAAAGAAAATTCATCAACAAAGCACCCCAAGTTCTGAAGGGAAAACCTGTATTCTGTGTGCTCTGTTTGAAGAGCTGTGTGCTCTTGGTAGGAGTCCCTTGAGAGATGGACATTTCTGGCAAACCTGGTATGTTTCAGATCTCATAGAAAGCACTCTATGGCATGTTGCACCATCAAGGTGGGAAGGTAATTACAGTGACATCCAACACCCACCAGTGCATTGATGGGTAACAGTATGCCATGGCAGCCTTGCTACTGCCTGCCTCTCCTTCCTCTTCTACTACCCCAGGGTTCCCATGGACAGACGAACACCTCTAAGTCCAGAAAGCGGAAGTTGTTTGTTCCTCCTGGGCCTATACACAGCATTTTTCCTGTTTCAATGTCCAGATTTACTTTTCTGCCCTCCCACATACATGACTCGAACTCACTGACATGCTTAGTCTATTCAGCCTTACATATTACTGCTGCAGTATCACTTCCAGTATTTCAGGGCCTAGAAGTATATAGGGGCACTAAGTAATACTCGTTAAACTAAAATTGAAATTACTAAAAAGAAGATTTGAGATGTTTCTAATATGTTTCCCTTTAGGACCAATGTTTTGAGCATAATGACAAGGTTCTAAAACACAAGCTGCAGTAGAAACATTTATGCAGTTAGTTTATAGATTTTCCTTTCCAGCTGGGCAGAACAGGTTCAAGTGCAAAGTGCTGGTCTGTGTCTGTCAGGAGGAAATGTGATACTAGCTTTTTCTTCTCATTTTCATTTTGCTCTGTCTTATTATTTTTTTAATTATCAAAATGTCAGTGTTCTTATGGCCCTTATTTACTTCATGCTTTAAAATGATCCGTTTGAACACTCTCATTTCCAATGGTGCCCTGCCTACACAATACGCTGCGGCAATCAGTCATGCTCAGAAGTTATGGGAGTAACTAACCACTATCTGACTGGATTTAAGGCCCACTCCATAATATGGAACCTGTGCCTGACACTGCCTGGGTGGCTAAGAACCAGGGACTAGATAGGCCATGGACCTAGGGGGGAAAATCAGATACTACTGTTCTGCTTAGGTAGCAATATAATTATTCCTAACAACATTCTGCTCTACCCATAGATGAGTGTTTTGCTCAGCCATCATCAGAGAAGCTTCCTCCTGAAGTCAATGGGAATAAATACAGAGACCCACAGCAGACAGTATGCGAGAGTGAGAGACCTTGGAACACCCGTTCTAAACGGGATGTCTCCATCAAATCTCTCTCCTCAGGGTTCAGGGAACCCTGCAGAAATAAGAGCCAGAGGGGATGGAAAACACCAAGGACTGTCTTTCAGACACAACAGGACTGATGCGCATATGAACTCAGAGACTCTGGAAGCATTTGTCCAGGGCCTGCACAGGCCTAAGCCAGATGGAGATCCAGCACTGAGAAGAGGAAGATATGATCCCCCATCCCTAACCCAGGAGCTATCTCCAAGTCACAACACTCACAATGGAAAAGTTAGTTTTCTCCAAAGGAGTCACACTGGGCACCCAAAAAAACACTGAAAGGCAGCCCCATGGCCAGCAGCAGATGCTGACACAAAATGAACTCAATGGTAACTTCTAGAGATTTTTTTTTTGTCTTACAATGCCTTGTTTGGGCATTTTGTACCTTACTGGTCTTTTGGTTATGTATTATGGTCTCCAGTGTGCACCGGAGTGTGTGTATATATATTATGGTTTCTGGTTTTGTGTTTGATGGGTTTTCCATGTGTGAGTGTGTGCGTGCACCTCTGCACATGGATGTGCTTCTCTTGCTTTTTTTCCCTCCCTGTTTGTTTTGTTCTGTTCTGTTTTGTTTATTTGATTGGTTTTTAAAGAGAGAGAAAGAAGGCATGAAGTTGGATGGGCAAGTGGGAAGGCTCTAGGAAGAGGTGAAAGAGGGCACAAGGTGATCAGAATATACTGTCTGAACAAAAACCCATTTTGTTGTTGTTTTTTGAGACAGGGTTTCTCTGTGTAGCCCTGGCTGTCCTAGAACTCACTCTGTAGACCAGGCTGGCCTTGAACTCACAGAGATCCACCTGCCTCTGCCTCCTGAGTGCTGGGGTTAAAGGCTTGCGCCACCACCGCCCAGCACAAAAGTCTATTTTCAATAAAAAATAAATAAGTGATCTGTTTGAAAATTAGTAATTATTAGCTTTAAAGGCATTTCTACAGATCCTAGGGAAAACGCAAGTGTAATGGAACTAATAAATACAAAAGTTATAGATGAATGCAAACAAAATAGAATGGAAACCAAGCAAGGGCAAAGGGACTAAGGAAATGACACTGAAGCTTTGGAACAGGAGCTCCGTGGCAGCGAGGTATGTCAGCGTGACAAAGGCAGGGCGGGGCAGCCAACACAAGGCACCCATATATTCTAAACAGGACATAGAAGGAGTCTTTCCAAACAGGTTTGCAGTGGATACTACAGCCAAACTCATATCGCAGTGTTCATCTTACAGCCAAGATGTCTACCAAGATAAAGAAGCAAGGCATGGTGATACATGCCTATAATCCTGGCATTTCATGAGGGAGGCTGAGGGAGGTTCAAATTCAATGCCAGCCTGGGCTACACAATGAGAGAGAGGGAGAGAGAGAGAGGGGGGGGGGGGGGGGTGGGGGGGGAGAGAGAGAGAGAGGGAGAGAGGACACGAACACAGTTCCCACCATCTTTGAAATGTAGTGGATTTCAAATATGGTATAATAATAACTTCTAGATACATGCGAGCAACAGCTTTTGTGGTGCTTATGCCATGCTGTCCCATGTACCCTCTGGGGGTTCTTCAAAGTGGTAGGTCCGAAGTCAAGTCACCTGCCCAAGCATGCCTGACCAAAGTTCCCTTCACCTTGGTGTCTGTGAGACGACTCACCTGGAAGCAGAAAAGACAAATGGAGCAAATGACAAAATCCTCTCTGGACGCACTCGCCGACGGCAGCACGGACGTCATGTCATATATTCCCAGGGTGAAGAAGAGGAAGAAGCCCAGCAAATGACTCCAGATGTTTACCGTCTCATTGGATAAAATAAACAAGCTACAAAGTAAACAAACACGCAGCTCAGAGTCTCATCGGCTCAGAGTGCCAGCATTCTAAGGTTGGGGGTTTGGGGGAGTGACTTGGCCTCAGCCCTCTCTGGGCCTTTCTAAGATCAGCTGTACTATTTGATATTTCGGTCATTGTCTCCCACTTGCACTGATTCTGGGCCCTCCAGCTTTTGGTGTTCAGCTCCCAGTGTTCTCACTATGTCTTTCTTCCTATTGCATCACTTTTCTAAGCAGAGCCCTTGCTCAGACTGCTCACTGTCTACAGAAATGAAGTGTGCAGACAGACACTGGATGTTAGCTAGAAAACCGTCAGGAGCAGCTACCAGAGATACTGCTCAGTGGAAGCTGAGGCATAAACGTAAACTACCTCTTAAGCACTCGTTAAACACACACACAAAGTTCAGTGCATCTAGGGGAAGCAAAACACACACAGATTAACCCACTGGAAAGGTCTTGAAGACAGGCAGGCATGCCAGAGGAATTTTGCTATGCAAGTTCTGAAACCTGTTTCTAGGTGGCATGAGTTCACTCCTTTTAGGAAGAAAGGTGACTTTGTGGGTAGGTACTGTTTGTCCTCTTAAGATGTCTTGGCAGCACAGGCTGGTAGAGGGTCTATTACCCTGACCAGGCATCAGTTTCTTCATCTATAAAGAAAAGGAGTTGCATTAGATGTTGCTGCTTGCTGCCAGCTCTATCTCAATTTTGGGAAACGGTTCTTCATTTTTACCACAAGGTGATACCATGACTGGAGATTTAAATACTCTTGCATGTCTCTAGTAAAATCAATTATTTTGTTAAACAAAAGCCTTGACTGTTAATGAATCAGATTTGGGGAGGGGTAAGATTTAATTATTCTTGTTTTGTGTCTGTGGGCGTTTCACCTGTATGTATGTCTGTGTACCCCCACGTGAGCCTGGTACCTACAGAGGCTAGATGTTATCAGATCCCCTGGAACTGGAGTTACAGAAGGTTGTGAGCTGCCATGTGGGTGCTGGAAATCAAAGGCAAGTCCTCTTGGAGGATGGCCAAAGCTCTCAAGCACTGCGCCATCTCCTCAAATTTGCAGCAGCCCCCATGGTTCTCACATCGTTAGTTTTATGAGGCATACACAGTGAAGTCTCAAATGATCAAGAATAAGGTATATCTTGTATCTGGAAACACAGACTTTATCTTGCTTATCATCAGACACAAAGACTATCTGTAACTGGGGGAGGAACTAAAAGAACATTCTAGACACATCTAATTACAGGACTGTTTTGGCAATCAACACTACCTTTTGCCTATTGCCTCAGAAGTTTTCATTTTATGAAACCCAGTATAACCTGATTAACTAAACACACTCTAACCACATCCCTTCCCAGGAACAGATTGCAGATAGAACGGATGGACACACAAAACCTCTCTTCATATGTACAATCTGTCTGGAGACTCTTGAAGGAAAGGAGAAAAGGCAAAGACCCAACCTGGATAAGATCAATATTGTAGGAAGAATATCCCCAGTAAAGGATAAACTATTATTGTCAAAAAAGCTAGGCACCCACAAATTCTGTTTATCTTCAAAACCAACAGATTAACTCTCGCTAAGAGTCGGGCTTGTTAACCTGTGTCTGTCTCAACAACTCAGTATCTCAAGTTTTATAGCCTCGAGATTTGGACTCAAGATGTTAGAATGCAGAGGACCACTGCTAGGCGAGCACAAAATGTTTACAGCAGTTTGCTGGTGGCCTGCCCTTCTCCATCTCCAGAGCAGGGCCTAGCTCTGATTTCTTAGGCAGTTATGAACACAGGGCACTGGGGAATGAAGAAGCTGTAATTACGACTCGAATTGTGACATCCACTTGGTCATCCATTCAAGTACCAATACTTCCAAGGTAGTACAAAAAGGAAACAGAATGGGAAAACACCACGTGGGGAAGACCAACAACCAGACGTGGTCGCTGCTTGGACGCTTCAACAACTTACATCTTGGAAGCAGCATGTGCCATTCCAGTGACCTGGAGTGCTGTTTTGGACTTACTGCTTGCATGATGACTTTAGTACTAACAGTGACTTCGGAAAGTGGACTACTCTGAAAACTAAAAGCAAGTTTTTTATTTCCCTTTTTTTAAAAAACAGGTTTTTGGGACTCTGGTTTTAAAGACCTAAAACAACAAATCCATTTTGTACAGAGGCTTTCAAGGTGTTCTGTTGGAGGCTGGTTGCCTCCTTTCAGCCTTCTTTGCCACAGGGCTTTTCTTTCCTACACAGCATTTCCCACAATGACTATTATGTAATAGTGTAATTATCTCTTTAGTGTCTACCTTAGTAGCTTCATGGGAACAAGGGCCATGCCTACCTTCGGCAGGATCTGGTTATAGTGCCTACCACCTAGTAGAGGTTCCATACGCATTTGCTAGATGCTTGAAGGAATCAAGGCTTCCCACATACATATGCATAGCAATGTGGACTTGTCTGCTATTATACGGGCATTCAGCTGGCCAACACGTCTGAATTCTCACAGTGCTGGTCTAGAAACAAAGCTCAGGTATACACAAAGCAAATAAGGTTCGGCCATTGTCAGTGGGGTAGACTGAGTACCAAATGGAATAAAGGATGTAAAAGCGCTTTGTAAACGGCAAAGGGTTACTGGGGACGGCAACGATGACCACTTAGTTAGTATCATGATTTCGTGGATCAAGGAACCCCCCGGAGAAGAGACAGGGCAACAGAAAGATGAAAGGGCCCAGAGGTGAGGCAATGATGCGCACAGAGAAAAGCGGAGAAAGGCGGGGAGACGAGACAAAAAGCGTGAGAGGAGAGGACACGCCGCGCAGAGCAGCCACTGTACCTTTTGATACACAGCCTGGAAGGCAGGTAGGCCCGGTAGCCGTCGGTGATGTAGGGGTTATCTTTGAGGGACACCGGGATCTGTTCGTAGGTGTACAGGCGGATGCCGCGGGGCACCAGGACCGGCCAGTACTGGTAGCTGCCCAGCTCGATGTAGTGCGCGCTCTTCAGCAGCTTCTGATGCATGATGCCCCGGCGCCGGCCCGGCCCCGCCTCCCCGGGGAGGGGGCTTCGCCGCTGGCGCCCCCGCCCCGGAGCCGCCGACGCTGGGCCAGGTGCTTCTGCCCGCCGCTGCCCAGACCGAGCCCCGCTACACACCACCGATGCCTCGGCTCTGGCCCACCGCCGGCGTCGCAGCCCGCGCTGACGTCAGCGCGCCGTGCAGCCCCGCCCCCACCACGCCCCTCCCCTATCGGGGCACTATCGCTCCGCCCCCCCGCTCTGTGGGCCCGCCCTTCGTTTTGCCTTAATCAGCAGGACCTGCCCATCGCCCCGCCCTCTTCCCCCCCCGGCTACGCCTCCCCTAGTTCCTCTTTCATCAGCCAGTCCTCCCTTAGCCCCGCCCACCTAGCTGTCCCGCCCCTTAAAGCGGCCCACCTTCCAGGCCAACCCCTACCCCCAACTTCTACCCGGCCCGTCCCAGCCCCGCTCTCCTATCGGGCCCGCCCCTACCCCCGCCTCCTTACCCGGTCCGCCCCTAGCCCCGCCTTCCTTCTAGGACTGCCCCCTAGAACCGCCCTCTTTCCAGGCCAGCCCCTAGCCCCGCCCTCCTACCGGGCCCGCCCCTAGCCCCGCCCTCCTTCCGGGACTGCCCCACCCCCAACTTCTACCCGGCCCGCCCCTAGCCCCGCCCTCCTACCGGGCCAGCCCCTAGCCCCGCCCTCATCCCCAGGCCTGCCCCTAACCCCACCTTCTACCCGGCCCGCCCCCTAGGCCCGCCCTCTTAGCTCCTAGTCCGCCCCTAGCTCCAACCTTCTTTGGCCAGCCCGTAATCCCGCCTTCTTATCCCGCTCTCCCCTGGAGCCCCCTCATCCTCACGCCCCTTCTTCAACCTTCTAGCCGTCCCGCCCCTAGCCCCAACCTACCTGGCCCGCCCCTTGCTTGGCCAGCTCTGCTTCCCTTAGCTGCAGGTAAAAAATTAGAAGTATGGGCGAATCCAAGTGGGTCTCCTTTTCTGTTTTTCATTAGAAGTAATATTTACTACATTTTGAATATCAAGAAGAGAGTAGCAGAAAGGAAAAATCAATTGAGGTAACTTACTGCTGCATGGTGTATTCCTGGAGAGATGCACACAGAAGGGGACCTCTGAGGTGTTCTTTCTTTCTTTCTGACAACTCGGCACATGGTTTTATTGTATATTAACTTCTTTAACAATTTAAGGTCTTATTTAGAACAAGATGTATCTCACAGCAATTCATATAAATATCTACCCATATACACAAACACTGGTACAGTGATAAACAGGAATTATTTTATAATGGCAAGGTTAAACTTGAAACTTGTCTTTAAAGTACTCTTGAAAGAGGTAAGAAATTTGGTCAGGTCCTCAGGGTCAGTCACTGAGTGAGAGTCACCTTTGGTAATTACCTTTGGGTTGAGGAGAAGACCATGATTTAAATACATATGTTAAAAGACCATAAATATTTTATTGGTGGGAAAGTTTATTGATGGGGGAAGAGACTCATTCTTGATATCACCAATCATGAAATCCAAAAAATTGGATTTTAGTCCAAACTAACTTTGATTTCTTTCTTTTGTAAAATAACCATGATACTTTTTTAAACTGAAAATAATTTTTTTCATACAATATATTCTGATCACAGTTTCTCCAGTCTCATCTCCTCCCAGATCATCCCCACCTCCTCACTCTTTGAACTCCATGCCTACTTTTCTCTTTAGAAAACAAAGAGGCAAAAAAACCTACAAAACCAACAGCAGAATAAAACAAAACAAACAAAAAAACAAAAAAACAAGGAAAAAGGACAAGAAACAGACGTACAAAAAGATACACACACACATACAAACACAAACAAACCCCATAAAAAAACCCCAAAATCAGCAAATACAAATACAGGCAAAAGACCAGTAGG